CATCCATCCATTCATTCATCCATCCATACATACATTCATCCATCTATTCATGCATTCATTCAATCCTTCATTATTCCTGCCATCCATTTAATCTATTCATCCATTTATCCTTGCATCCTTTTATCCTTTCATGCATTCATTCATCCATTTATCCTTTCATCCATCCATCTTTTCCTATTGCATAATATTTCTGAGCCTAGTAATTTTTGTACCACTTCAGGTTGGCCTTGCCTTTCTGGCTGGTTTAGGTTTTGCTATCATATTAATACCCATCAACCGCTGGCTTGCAATCAAGATACAAGCACTCAGTAAAGATATGATGGTGCAAAAAGACAGAAGAGTCAAGGTAAACAGGAAAAATCCTTTTATAGTTTGGTGTGTCTAATTGTTTTTTCTTAATAGACCATGCAGAGCATTTGGTAATGCATCCATGATTGATTGTTTTCACAAAGTAATGTGGTGTCAATATGCTGCGGTAATAATGAGGCACATGTACACCATGCCTAAAATAGGAATGGATTTTCTTGACATTTCTGTTATTATCTGAATTAAAGGCAATAGACAATATTGTGTTTTCTGAGCTTAATTAACCAAATGTTCAAATGTCCAACCAAATTCAAATACATGGGTTTGTAACCTGTGTGTGACTTACTAATGGAGGTGTGCCCTTGCTACCAAGAAGATGCCATAAGAAAAAATTGAGGAAATGCTAAAAGGGATCTTTCTGAGGCTCTATGTAAATGCTCTACAACATTAACTACATCTAACTTTATGTTGCCTTTTTGTTAACTTTGCCAACAAGAGAAAAGAGTTGGTCAAAATATAGGAACATTTTTGTAAGGTCCTACACTACATTAATGTAGCATAGGAGTATAGTAACAATATGCTATCAGTCAAATATGGGCACATGCAGCACTGTAGCACCATTAGCACAGTAATACATATAGAACAGTGGCACAGTAGCAAGGTGTGCATCAACTCCTCTACCCCTATTAAAAAATTATTCTTTGCAGTCAAAGTCATCATTATCATCTCTCATCACTCCAGGAGGTGCATAAGGCCTTCACCGCATTTATCCAACTCACTCTACTGTGCCACACCAAGTTCTTGTTATCATTGTTAACATTTTGTGATTTCACTTGTAGATGATGAATGAGATCTTGTATGGAATCAGGGTCATCAAGTTCAATGCCTGGGAGAGGAACTTTGAGAGTAAAGTCAATGAATTAAGGTGTGTGTATGTGTTGGACAGGGCTGAAAAAATGTATTGTACCAGCACCAAGTAATCCAAGGAAACAAACATGGTGGCAGAAAAACTTCATACCTCTAACCTATTCATCATTTCATCATTTTTTATCTTTTTTTTTGTCAAACTATTATTATTATTTAATTTTCCCATCTACCTGTTATGTTCTCAGGGGTGGATCCAGGGGTGGTGAAATAGGTAACTAGTCGACCCCCTTTTCCAAAAATTTCTCAGTTTATCGTTAGTAACAGTCACCCCCTTTTTCTTGAGTTCCTGGTAAAACCTTTGTAATAGTCACCCCCCTTCTAAAATTTCTGGATCTGCCCCTGGTTCTCTACATCTTAGGTCAGCAGAGCTAAAGAGCCTCAAGGGTCGGAAGTACTTAGATGCTTGGTGTGTGTATTTCTGGGCTACCACACCTGTTATTATCTCCATCTTAACATTCATGACCTACGTACTGATGGGAAACAAGCTGACTGCCGCAAAGGTAAAAACAAATGTTTCTTTAATGCAGTTTTCAATATTCTGTGAACTCAGACATTTCAACGGCTTGTTGTAAAATTGGTTTTCACTACCGCCAGTCAATAACATGAAAGGTACTGACTGATTATTTTTGATTGACGGCAGCAAAAAAAAAAATTTCCAGCATGCAACTTGTAACTACCAAGTTCACAGAATATCCGAAATCACAGTAAATCAAATCACAGCAGAGCAGAATTTGTGATATAAACCATATTCAAGGGTAGAGACAAGAATATATTCTACATGAGAAAAGGAAGTGAGCCAAGTTTCATTTGTAGTGAGACACTTTGTAAATTTATTTGTTTTACTAGATGGTTTTTCCGTTGTTTTGTATTTCCATTTTTTCCCATTCATGCATTTCTATTAATGTTGGGTTGCCTATGGCTCGTAACTGGATCCACAGGGAACCCATTAAGCAATACCTCAGTGATCAATCTCTGATTCCTATTTTCATTCTTTTTCAGGTCTTTACTAGTGTAGCCTTGTTTAACATGCTTATCTCACCACTTAATGCATTTCCCTGGGTCTTGAATGGGCTGGTAGAGGCCTGGGTATCAGTTCAAAGGTTGCAGGCATTCCTTGGTATGAATGACCTTGACCTTAGGGATTACTATATTGAGACACCTGCAGAAGAGTCCAGACATCAAGGTAAGACTATTCTTGGGATTAGAAAAATATTCTCTAATTTCACATCCCCATAATGCCTTGCGTCTTTGGGGGGTAACCAATAAAAAAACTGTCCCAAATTGAAAGGTTTCTTAATTGAATTTATACTATACCTGCTTTTATCTGTACAATACTGATTATCAGTTTATTCCAAGTTAGTTTTGCGTGTACAGATCATCAAGAGTTTTGGTCTTACAGAAAATGTATTCACTTACGAAAAAATGCTTAAAATTTACCTTAAACGTCTTTAAGCTTCTATCTTTTTCTGTTTTTTACTTCTTCATTTTATTTTTGGATACCAAACAAGGTATTGTCARCATTGTCTGATCAGCCATCAGCAAAATAAGTGGGTTTTTACCCTCTGGTTACCCCCAAAGATGCAAAGTATTATGAGGATGTCAAAGTAGAGAATACGGTTATGCATAGCTCAGGAATGCAATTTAACGTGATGTGATGTGACAAAACGTAACGTAACGACATAACGCGTTGTGACATGACTTTATTCAATATACAACACATGCAAGTTTACAGATTTACTGTAATCATTTAACGCCTTTTTTACAACAGCAATAAAAATAGTCAATGGCGTTTTCAGCTGGAGGTATGAAAATACATCACAGACAGATGAAAGAGCCGCCAGCTCTGTTGACAGGGAATCGGGCTCACCAACAGCAGTAGAATGTCTGTCTGATATCAATCTAACTTTACGCAAGGTGTGTTTTAGTAAACAGAGATGAATTCATACGCCCGTGATAAGGTCACGGTACGGACGCATTGAAACATTTTCATTGGATGAACAGTATGTTTGTGCTCTGTGATTGGTTCAATGATTATCATTTTATACCGTGCCGTGGCAGTGATGTTGCCATGTCAAATTGTTACCAATATCAGTGTTCCTTTGAAGTTTGTATCATTGTATTACACGTGTCATTCGCTAGAGTATCATTTATTTGTTAAACGCATGCGCTCGATTGCACATGAAAAGACACATGGATACAACTCAAACAAAGAATCTTAGTCTGTAATGGGAAATCATTACGCCCAAGGTAAAGAGGTCTATTACTCTTGTGCTTGCTTCTGAGTGAAAACCAGGTTCAACTCTCCGTAATATTTTAACATATTGTTTGCAGGGTGAATTGGTTGGTGTAATAGGCACCGTTGGTTCTGGCAAGAGCTCACTGCTATCAGCTATCGCAGCTGAGATGGACAAACAAAACGGACAGGTAAGAGACACTTTTTTTTGCACTCACAGATAATCTTTTTTGTTCTCTTACAAATAATAACACGGTTTCATTATCTCGTCATTTTGTTTTTAAAGGAATCTAGATATTTGTGTGAAAAGTAAACTGGGAATGAATTGAGGCACAACCCTCACACAGTTGCATATATTTAGTATTTGTATGTTTTCTTCGCAGGTTTATGTGTCCTGTTTGGACAACGGGTTTGGACTCGCCGCACAGGTAAAGAAAACAATAGCCCCTTTTATAGTTCCTTGCGCCATCTTGAAAGGTAGCTGTACCTTTGTATCGAAGCCAGACGAGCTTGCATTGATAGAGACATTTGAATAATTGTCCAAGGTGTTAAAAAAGGTCTCTGTCATTGCAAGCTCACCGTTCGTCTCGCTTCGATACAAAGGCAGCTTTCAAGATGGCGCAGGGAACTGTGAAGGGGACTATTACAGCAATACATCTGTTACACCTCGATTCATCCATATAAACATGTGAAAAACATTTTCACATGCGTGCACTTCACGACGTTTTCCATTAATTTAAGAGAGAAAGAGAAAATCAATGCTCTTTTTTTCTCCAATTTGTTTTCTCAAAATGTTTTTGTGAGTATACATTCGTGAGACCAAGATCCTGCGGGTCATGAGCATGCGCACACGTTTTTAACTACATTTTTTATCAAATAAAAATGTTCGGCCACGCCAACATCATGGTCAGTAACTGCATTTTATTTCAGTTTGGATATCATCAAATGCTAGTAATTATTAATATTATCAGGAACCTTGGATTCAACATGCAACAGTCAAAGAAAACATCTTGTTTGGTCAGCCGTTTGATGTGGAAAAATACAGTGGAGTAATCGATGCGTGTGCACTAAGAGAGGTATGTATGTTTTCTTGTCTTACCATTTAATAAATGAAGAGATAAATAGCTAAAAACTAGTGTGAGCTGCGTCGGTGTTTCTAATGAAACAGTAATGATAAAAAGGTAAATTATACACCGTAAAAAGATGAAAAAAACTTACTGACGTTTCGGAAGCTAGGACGTCATTTGACTCCCACTACCATAATGCTTTGCGAATTTTCTTTCTTATTCAAATTTGTATTACCTCATGAGAATAGTAAGACAATTGTTGCTGATTAACTGAACAAAAGAAAGTGTGCAAGGGAGTCTGGTAGTAGCAGTAAATATTGCTATTCACCATTCTCCAAACATTGGTCCACTGATCAAACACAAAGCGCTCAAGCGAGACGCCAAGATACTTTCAAAGGATTATTCAAATTTGAACCTTGCAACCTCGACTGAATGCTTTATGTTTGACCATTGAACCGATGCATGGAAAATTGTCTATAGTAATATATGCGACTCGGTTTAGGCAAAATTCTTAATATTCCAGTTAGTTCCCAGTCCTCAGTGGTTCTGCGAGCCTCGACCTTACACAAGGGATGATTCTTATACGCATGCGTGCCATGGTTTTTTTTCCTTTTGTTTTTCCTTTCTATTTTCTTGTCTGTTCAATGTTTAAAATGCTTCCTGTCAAATTGTCTCAGAAGTTCAAAAGTTTGATTATTGTGTAAATTTACGTCGCGGCTAGTTTCCAAAACGCATCCCACACGGAAAGGAGTGTCTTTGGGTGCTAAACCATCTGTGATACAAACGACAAATCGGGTATGCTGTTCATAGCAAGGGGTTAATCATCCACGGTCTAGGGGCCGACTAACCTCTCCCTTAGGCTTCGGCCGAGCTTCCTGATCAGTCTGTAAATCCAGGGATAGTGGTGTCGGGGCCGAAATCTCCGGCGTAGCCGTAAATGCTTCGCGCTGCCATACGACGGTTCAGCACTTGATGTCTGGAAGTATGGTCCTTTAAAAATTAATTAATTAATAAGAATAAAAGTTTGTACTAAAAACAAGTTTTTTTAGAAGGTGAACGTTTAATTTCAGCAATTTGGAATTTAAAGTAATTAAATTAGTAACGAATCGTTAGTGTTAAGGTTGGCAGTTTTTCAACATTTTCTAGATCATATTCCTTAATAAATGGATGTCGTTAATAGTCCCCTAAGCAGTTCCCGGCGCCATCTTGAAAAGTAGCCATGCCTTTGTATCGAAGCAAGATGAACGATAGAGACCTTTTTTAACACCTTGAACAATTATTCAAATGTCTCTATCATTGCAAGCTCACCGTTCGTCTCGCTTCAATGCAAAGGCACGGCTTCCTTTCAAGATGGCGCAGGGAACTGTGGAAGGAGCTTCCTTTCCCTGAAATTCGAAAGCGTCTTAAAGGATGAGAAAAAGTCATAGTCCAACTAATGGTGTGAAAGTCTGATAGATCCAGCCAGAAGGCCCATTAATAGAGACATAATGTTTCCTCATTTCAGACCACGTGTCATTCTCTTGAAACTGACGTTTCGGCCACTTCATGTCGTCATTCTCAAAAGTTTAATAAAAAACTTCATTTGTTCCAAAAAATATTTTCAGTAATGAGAAATGTGGTTAGAATCAAACTACTAGCCCCCTTAACAAACGCATTAGATCATATATTTTAATGAATTCTTGCGCTATATAAGTAATAAAATTATCTTTATTATTTATCATTATTATTATTATTAGAAAAGGAATGACGGGTTGAGTTACTGATTGATTTTTGTTTGTGCTTTGAAAGGATTTGCGTGTCCTACCTGCTGGTGATGAAACTGAGGTCGGTGAGAATGGAGTAACTCTAAGCGGAGGGCAGAAGGCGAGAGTGTCTCTAGCGAGAGCTATTTACCAGGTATGCCTTGTCTCATTCTCCTATCAGTTTCCATGCAATACCTATGTGTAAAATCTGAAGATTTGAAGCTTATGAGGAGCAAGCTTTCGGATGTATATACGGTCCTTCAGGTCAGTGCGTCATGGGACACTTTGGGGAAGAACGTGAATGACGCCTTTTCTTGAGCAAAATTCAAAACTTCTGGTGATGCAATAATTTTTGGGAGGAAAAAATGGTTGCATTATTGAACAGATTAAGCATAATAATTTTCCTTTTTGCAAACTGCAGACATCACCACATTTTCATCATTTCCCTGCATTTCATTTTACCTGCAAACCTTTACACCAAAGACTGAAGTATTCTTTTATTTATCAACTACTTGGAGATTTTTTCGATTCCTTTTCACAATCGTCTTTAAACGAGATGTTCTTAAACTTTCTACTGAGAGCCAACAAAGGTGGTTATACTTAATACTTCTCTATGAAACTCATCCAGGATAAAGATGTCTATTTGCTGGATGATCCGCTGGCCGCTGTCGATGCGCATGTCGCGGCTCACATATTCAAGCATTGCATTCTGGGACTTCTCTCCAAAAAGACCGTCATCCTTTGCACACATCATACCAAGTACCTTAAAGCCGCTGACCTCGTGGTCGTGATGGATCACGGGCGCGTATCTCATCAAGGCATTCCCGCTGAAATACTCACCAAGGAAACGGTGATGTCACAGTTATCACGTGACGAGGATGAAAGTGACCTTGAAAAAGATGAACTTTCTGAGCCTGAAAAGATCCAGTTGACTGAACAAATGAAAGGAGATGGGGGACTGGTAACCGAGGAAGAGAAAGATGAGGGCGCGGTCAAGTTACACGTGTATTGGTCGTACTGGCTTGCCATTGGTCATTGCCTAGCAACCAGTATTCTCGTTTCTCTTTTGTTAATGCAAGGTCAGTTCTTATACTTCATGTGACTCAGTGAAAAAAAAATTATTGCGTGCCGTGACTGTTGCCGTGTCTTCTGATTGGATAAGCCGTAATTTAAGCATATGCTGACATAACTGTACTGAACCTTGCCTCGTAGCTTTTTACATCCATTTCAGAACAAACCACTTTACTCTTATTACACTTCTAGTTCAAATCTATTCTTATTCCTCAGCTTCACGAAATCTAAGCGACTGGTGGTTAGCGTACTGGATATCTCACACCAAGTCACGCACTAATGGTCACGATAACAACACGTCGTCACGCAACTACATCGCTTCATATATAACTGACAACTCTAATGGATACCATAGTTTTCACATCGTCAAGGATGCTGTCATATTTTATCTGTTTGTGTACGGAGGATTCGCAGTTGGAAACACGGTAAATATAACAACCCTTGCTTATTAAACTTTGTATAAACACTCCGCACACTGATGTATTCAACGGTGAAAAATGTTGATCATCATATTCAACTCTAGAAATGTTGCGCGCAACATCCAAGACCTCGTGCGCGAAAATTCCATTTATTGCAGGCGCCCGGGACACTAATGAAAAACGTATTGCGCATGCTCTGAAGTTGGGCGGGAAATTTCTAGACGCGTCGTGTTTTACAAATAAAACCATTGGAGATTTACCAGCGTTTTTATTATGCGAATTTCTCTCGAAAAGAACTAATGATGTGCACTAACTTTTCAAAGACGACCTTAACTTTTAACATTTACCAAACGCCGGTTAATCTCCAATGGTTTTATTTGTAAACAAGACGCGTCTACCTGCGTTTTTCTGGCCTGCGGTGAAGAACGAGGGCTCTGACATAATCCATTTTTTGAGACCAGGGTTTCTTGGACTTCCGGTATAAGAGCGCATGCGTTCAAAGACTTGCCAAAAGTAAGAATAATATTTTTCCGGCTTCTAGCTTTTATTTTGATCTGAATTAAACACAGAATTCTGTTTAAAATCATGATTTTCATTGATTATATTTCACTTCCGGAATATTGCGCATGCGCCAAAAATGGATTATGCCAGAGCCTCTGTTCTTCGCCGCAGGCCATAAGAAACGCAGGCTGTGGGTACGAGATTGATTCCCGCCGAACATCCGAGCATGCGCAGTGGATTTTTCACCCGTGTCAGCGCCTGGCAAGGCCGTGTACTCGGGCAACAGGGCAATAGACGTTTCCCGAATTCGCTTGAGTGACCACAAATTCTCCAAGATGAGGTTGATCTCGATGTGTTCATGCTTTTACTGTATTCAAGCAAATTCTGGGTCTATTAAACCGTTACTTTCAGTGAACCCTTGATTGAAATATTGTGACGCCTAAGGCAATGGCTTGGAAAGACCTGCAGATATCTGTTCAAGAAGGCCAGCGCAACTGAAGTATCCGATGCTAACGAAGCAATCATAGATCGAGGTTGAGAGCTAACCGTAAACTAGAGTAAATAATCCTAATCTAAGTGGTTCATATTATATATATTGTTTTCAGATTTTCACGTTGTTTCGTGCATTCCTCTTCGCCTATGGTGGTATCAAGGCCGCTAAGGTCATCCACAAGAGATTACTGACCAGTATTCTAGCAGCTCCGATATCCTTCTTCGATGTCACCCCGGTAAGTGAGGAGGACTCGTTGTGAGTCAAGGGTGGCGTAGGGGTAGTCCACTCGCCTCACACCTCTGGAGTCTAAGGTTGGATTCCTGGACTTGACATCAAATATATACATTAGTAAATCAAGGGTTGAGCAGGGGTGGTCTCACTTCTGGGGCTTAGGATTTGATTCCTGGTTCCGCATCAGATGTGAGCAGAGTTGGTAAGGTCCTTCAGTTAATTCGAGGGTTTTTCTCTGGTTTTCCTCCCTCAGCAAAACTGTCAATCTGCATGTAAGGTAGCCGTGCCCTGACTTTGCCCTGAAGGTTTATCAGGGTATTGATAAAACGAAGGTTCGAAAATTTGTTTATCATACGAAATGGACTTCCATCGCATTCGTCTTAGGGCTATTGTGATCTATTAGTAGAACTTCGCTAACTTTGCTTTAAAAAAAGAAATAATACTAAAGGAAAATACAAGTGTCGCAATATACCAATAAAATAGGACGCGTTGTTTCATACCTCGTGTCATTCCTTTAGGAATACGATTCTCTGTTTGAGTGTAATTCTCTCATCACATACGGCCGCCATCATGGATTCTGAGTCATGCGTGGTTAGCCTCGTTGTTAATCCAAAATGGCTGCCGCGAAAGAAGAGAGAATCCTTGTCCTCGCTGAAATCACTTCTAACCTTGACAATTATTTTCCCCTTAGATTGGCAGAATTGTGAACAGATTCTCGTCTGATATGGTAACGTATAAGCTGCAGCAGATTTTTAACGATGCGGGAAGCTAAATATATATATTTCTTTTGTTCAAAAATTTTCAACGCCAAAAATGTTCCAACTCTAAATTCATGTATGCGGGCTTCCTGTCTTTTTAGTCCAAGTCCCTTTTTGTGACCAGCGGTTTACTTACGTTTTATTTGTATGCGCGCGCTCTTGACGTCATAATTAACTAAAACCACAAATTTGGTTCGACTCGAATCAACTTGTTTAAAACTCCTGCAGACAATTTCCTGCGCTACGACTTTACATTCGAAACGCTCCCCGGCTCCCTTAGGCCGCTGAAAATTCATCCGTCATCTTTCAATCAACCGCTTCACCATTCTTTTTCTCCTTCCTATGCATTCAAACTGTTGTTACCACTCGCTTTATCTTTCCCTCTACCACATCTTCCTCGATGAGATTTCTGAAAACCTTTCTCCTCTACTACTTTTTTAAGCATTCAAATTTCGATACTTCTTTCCATTTTTCAATTTGATTGTATTCAATATTTTATTCACTGTTTGTGTTTCAGTATTCAGTAGATGACAGCCTTCCATTCATGCTGAATATCTTCTTGGCTCAAGCGTACGGTGTAGCAGGCACGATAGCCATCACCTGTTATGGTCTGCCGTGGTTGTTAATACTGTTGATGCCGCTTTCTCTTATTTATTACTACATTCAAAATTACTATCGTAGGACCTCCAGGTAT